CCCAAAGACAGCCGCAGAGAACTCCCTATTATAACTCCTCTCTCCTCTTTCCTCACTCCTACTTCTCCTTCGTTAAGTGGGATGCCTTTTCCGGAAGAACGCCTAAAAGAAACCCTAAAAGACAAGAAACCGAGCCCAAAGAAACCCAAAACCAGTGAAGCTAAAGACAACCGCAAAGAAGTCCCTAGTAAGTGGAATACCTTTTCTGTTCCCTCCCTTTGTCACTGTCACGCTGGCTTTGGTGCTTCGTCCCCCTGCCCTTTCTGCTGCTCCCAGTGCTTGTAAAGCACTCCCAGCAGAAGCAAAGGCAAAAACAGGGGAAAAACGTGAACACAATTCCCGGAAAAAACCTGAAACAAATTCCCGAAAAACATCTCCATCCTTTTTGACCATCCTTTGGTGCATTTTTGGTGCGAAAGACGGAGAAAGAGAGCACAGGTGCACGACGGAGCCTTCGAAAGTCAGACGATCCGAGACGTTTCCGACGAGTCGCAGAACCCAGTGAGTGAGTTTTGGGTTCCCTGATGGGGGGTACCAACTAGGGGGTCTGTAGGGGGGTCTGTAGGGGGGAGGGTATCTAAGGCCCCTCCCATGTTCCCTGATGTTCCGGGTTCCGCAGGGGAAGGGTTACGCGTCATCATTATACCATGTGAAGTGAAGAACGTGCCGCAACGGTGGAAGAACATTTGATTCAACGGTGGAAGGGTTCCTTCCGTCTCTCTTGGTGGCCTTCGGACAGAACACCCGCAAACACAGCACGACTTCACGCCTCCCTGATGTTGGAATTCCTTGGTCGATCTGATGTCTGAGGCCTCTACCATGTCCATCCCGATGTGGTGCCTGCAGGCGTGGCAGCACAGGAGTCCTTCCAAGCCTTGTGGCCACACGAGCGGGTCGAAGACGAGGCGCCGGCGGGGTGCCCGGTGGCCACCAGCTGGCTGGTGACGGGCGGAATGTGGATGCGGAATGTGGGCCTCCCAGAGCTTCCAATGACTCAGTTTGGCCCTACCTGGGAAGTCAGAATCTACTGAAATCTGAGTCATGAGGCGACTCTCAGGCATAGTGTCCTCGATCCCAAACCTCCCAAACCTGGGCGACCCTCTATTGAGCCCAATATGTCAGGGTGGTCGAAAGAAGCTCCAAATCACAAGACCTGATTAGGCAACAGGACAACAAACAACGCCAAAAGACACATCTGGACTTGACTTTGCCAATGTGGTTCTTCAAGGCTTCAAAAAGAGGATGGAACATGACTAGCTCAGTCAGTGGATAACCTTTAACCTTTCTGTGGGCCTGGCTTCCCAACGAAACAAGAACAAGCCCAAGAAGGTTGAACAAGATTGAAAAAAGCCAGGAGTCACAAAGGGATGGTTTTCAGTCCCATCCAGTGAGTGGATGTGACAGGGGCACCCCTATCCTCCAAGTCCGGCACCTCTTGTGACTGCTGGAGGTTGTCTTTTTCGACAAAAACGTCCGAGCCACGTCCGCCTCGTCAAGTCCGCTTTGAGGAGGTTTTGGTTCGCTCTGGCAGCGACATGGTGCTCTTCTCGGGCGACATCCTGGCGCTGCGCGACCGCCTCGCTCTGGGCACGGGGATCCCGGCGTTGCAGAGGACGGGGAACCGGGAGGGTCAGGGATGACAGTGAGGAAAGGAAACAGAAAAGCCGATGGAAGTGGAATACCTGCCTGGAAACCTCGTCCCAACCAGAAACAAACACTTTTTAGTGTACACGATTTACGATCTCAATTGCCTCATTGGAACAACATGCAACAAGCAGAGCTTTTTCTGGCTGGGACTGGATCTCCAGTTCTGCCATGTTCTGCACCTACCTACGTCACGGTCCAGGAGCTCGTGCAGCTTCCATGAGTGGCCCCATCGCTTTATGGCCTGCCGCGACGAGGCCTACGCCCGCCACTTCGGAGGACGGGGCGGCGGCGACGGAGCGGTGCACGATGCCCTAGTGTTGAATGAAGTTGAATGCATCAAAGAGTCCCCTTGGGACATTGTAAAAGCTCCGTTGTTTTTTGGAGGGTTTGATTAAGTTTGATTCATGATTCTCGAAGCGAGCTCTCATGAACTAGTCTGTCCATCCTGTCGTTGGGAACTGCCGATCTTGGAGGTAGGAGGTGGACATGGCTCGAGAACAGAGGCGCACGCAGCTCCATCTGGGTGTTTCTGAGCCAAAGAAAGATAAAATCACACCCAAATTGTAGGCCACTGGGCCACTGGGTCTCATTTGTTAAGCCCTCCCTCAAAGAGACGGAATTGATTTCTGCATGTCTCAATTGGAGGAGAGGATAAACTTTTTGATTTTTTTGGGGGGTCACTATGAGCGTGGAGCAGATATTATGTAGATGTAGATGTCGAAGAACCATAAACAATTCCTTTGGCTTTTAAACACGTAGTCTATTGGCTGTTTCCGTCTAATTGGGGTCAGACGCAACCTCGTGTCAACCAGCACTACCATGCGGATGGCCCATGCCACCGGTGACGTCGACCAGCTCCCAGGAGCCTGCCGTCCGGCGTCGCGGCAATCCGCCTGCGGCGTGGAAGCCTTGGTCTGCTGCGTCTCCCATCATGGCCGTGCGGATCGCATGCAGTCCACGTGGTCTGCAGGGTCGGGACGTGGTGGGGTTTAGGGGGTCAGGTGCAAGAACATGGGCTGGAGCATGGCTGGAGCATGTCCTTCACCTCCTCTCTCTTTGGATTGTGTTGAATGGGTTTACCAGATTTCGGGTGGGGACCAAAAGCTTGGACCAAGGGCCGGCGGAACTGGAGGAGCCTTTTTAAGCGACCCGCGGGGTGTTGGGCAGCATGTAGAATGTAGACCATGTTCGTTCCGCCTGCAACGAAGCAAGACAGAAAGGGCATGTTCAGGCGTTGGCTGGGTAGGTGACAAGCCCCTAAGGAGGGGAACCCTTTTTGCAAATATATTTGGAGCATCCCTATCTCCCTACGCCTCCAGTCATACCTCCTCAGAAGGTATTTGGACCCTCCTGGCACCATCTCAGAAGGTACTTGGAGGCCGATCGGGCCTACCTACATGCAAGTAGTGGCCGCCAGAGCAGCAGATCGTGGTTGAAGAACCCTATTTCATCCTATTTCGACTATAAGGTTGGGTCTGTCCTAAGAAACCTGTAGCCGTCGGTCCAAGGTCTTATCACCCTTTTCTCCAGTTTGCCCTGGCAGTCAGGACCCCCCAACCCAGGACTGGACTCCCTCCCCACCATGAACGGGTCCTGCAGATGGGCAGCTCGCTGGAGCGAGGCGGAACTCGTTGGGGTTTACACCCAGGTTCATCCATCCACCTGGTCGGGAAAGACATGGTCATCAACTTCAACCCAAAAGGATCCAAAAGGTGTCCAGGTCACCAAGCTTCCTACCCCTCTTCCAGGGCCCGTGAGGCGCATTCCCCCTGCCACAACCCCACCCCGCATCCTGCCGAATTCTGCGTTTTGCCCGTCCACTACATGTGCACTTCTTGTTCACCCGCATGCACGCGCGCACAAGCACGCACGCGGGTGCACACGCACGTGGGCCCAGGTATTACACCGGACTGCCCTGGGACCTGCCCTGCCACTGCGGCCTGCCCTGCGACGGTCCTCCGTCCAGCACCGTGGCCGCGCCGGCTAGCGGCGTGCGCTGCTGCGGAGAGCGATGCGGCTGGGCCGGGGAAGCCAACGTGGTGCCACCAGCAGCGACGAACGTGGAGAAGGTGCGGAGTCCGTCCTCATTTGCAGGTGATTGCACCCTCCGGGATCCAGTCGGTTTGGTACGACCACGGATCGTTAGGGGCAAACCGCCGGCGGCGGCGGCCGTGCTGCTCGACCGGGAGCGCGTCGCAGGACCTGCCGTTTGCCAGCTCCTCGTTGATGGCTTCCTTCGCTGCTGGAGATCTCGAGCCTTCAGAGGCCGGTGAGTTGGCGAGTTCGGTGTGTTCATCGCCCTATGGTCGAAGTGGGTGGTCTACCGTAGACCCATGATGGAAAATGCTTTTCACCAAACAGTCTATAGATGCATGCCGAAAACTGTTGGGCTTCTCTCAGTGCTTTGAAGTGTGTCCGCCTGGGCTGCTGTGTACTTGCGCTGCCGGCCTCTGCCGGTCCAAAACTGTGAAGCGATGCTGGTGGATGATGGTGGTAGCCCTCTCCAGATCCAAACATCTCAATCATGTCGACCGAACCACTCGTGGAGCTGTTTGGGGCTCGAGAAGGAGGTTTTTTGGGACACACGGCCCAGGACTCAACATATGATGCGTACCATCAAAACCTGGTGATAGGACCTGGGCAAATGAACTATGTGTAGGTTGAGGGCATATTCCAGCCACACCCATCTACATGTATCAGTATCATTGAAGCTGGCCAATGCTTCGCATCCTTTGGGCAAAGGTCCCCAATCCACCCTTTTTGCGCTATGTCACTCCACCCCCTATGTCACCCCACGCATGTCTCTCTCTGTCTCTCTCTATGATTTGTCCATGTGAGTCTCCCTATCTATCCACCTTTGGTCCATCATTCGAAGAATTATCATTCAATTTATGACTCTGAAGACTCCTGTTCCACCCTCCTCCAATGTTCAGAATGGCAAGGTCTCGCCTCTCCACCTCACTCTCAGCTCCTTCACCAGCCCCTGCCTGAAAGCCTTCTGGGACCCCGGGAGCCCGGCCCCTTAGGTCTTCGAGGCCTGTGCCGCACATCGCTCAGTGTACTTCTTGGTGCGCCCCGCGCTGGAGGGCGTGGTGGAGGCCGCGCCTGGGCTGCGGTCGGCGCTGGGTAGGGGCGGACGCCGTAGGCGCGGGCGGGGTGTTTGTTGAGGAGTTGGGTGGTTGAACTGGGAGCTGGCCTTTCTGTTCACCAGGAGTCGGAGAATAGACGTGGAGGCAGAAACCAGGGTTCTGGTCCAATGGTGGTTCTGCTTCTGGTCACCAAGAAGCATACCTGAAGGGTTTGGCTGGTTTGCATGTCCAACCCTGGCCACTTTCTTGAGCTATAGCTTGTAGGCGAAAGGTTGAACTCAGGCGACGTGGAGGTTGGGATAGCTCCTATAGGTGAGTGTTCAGTTTCTAACTCTTCGCTATGCCAAAGGATGTGTTTTAGCATATGGAACCCATCAGCTTTTGAAGAATGAAGTCATGAGCTCTCGCTGGAGCACTCTACCCGTCAGCCACGATGGAAGAATCTCAAACTCTGGTTCTTCCCAAAGGGAGTCCACCGTGGCCATGCCCTGATGCCAACACCAACAGAAGTCGGGATTCCTCGGGCAGATGAAGAGAGGAGCTCGGAGGAGCTTGTCACGGTGAGCGGCTTCACATTGATCAATGAGATGTCCAGGATGGAAGTGATAGATCCCGAACTCTTGCGGGCCACGTGTCCTTCCACTGCCTTGCAGAGCCAAGTCTTGCAGAAAGACTTTGCTGGAGATCTCCATGATCGGAGCTTCCAAACGTCCAGGATCGATTGCTTTTGGAGCCATTCTTGGCATGCAACACCATGGCGGAAAGTGTTGGTGCTGACGATCATTTACAATGGCCTTGCTGCCATAGTGGCTGGTCATCTCGGGGCATTGGTGGGGACGAGCCTTTTCTACTTTCAGCTTTTGCCCAGCTACCCCCGGAGATTTCCCTTGGAGGGCGCCACTTATGACTTTGGTCCCTGGGGTTTGATCTTCGGAATTTCTTTGGCGCTTGGGACGCTCTTGCTGTGGCGGCCGGCGAGATCTCGCATTTTCCTCGATCGGATTTGCATCCATCAGACAGACCTCGAGCGCAAGGCAGCAGGAATCTGCAGCATTGGTGGCATTCTCAAACATTCCGACACCATGCTGGTGCTTTGGGATCCCACTTACCCAACGAGACTCTGGGCCATCTTTGAGCTCGCAGCCTTTATGAAGAGCCATGGAGTCGATGCCCTTGATGAGGTGGAGCACCGCAGGTTCCGCAGGTCCCTGGTGATCCGACCTACGTTCTTGGGTCCGGCAGCCATGCTGGGTGTGGTGCTGCTCTTGTTCGTGCAGATTTGTACGGTCTTGGCGACCTTTGAAGACCACCGCATCAATCTGGCCATCATGACATTGAACGTGATGTCTGCAGCGCTGGGAAGTCATTCGCTCTTTGGTGTTTGCTGAACTGATGTTGGGATGGGTGAATCCGTTGGCTGCATGGTGATGTAATGACCTCATGTGACCTCTCCACGTCGTTAGAGAGAAGTAGGATTTGGGTTCGAAATCCGCCGGGCGCCCCCCTTATCATTTCATACCAGGACCCTCCAAGGGGGGCCCTGTCTGGAAGCCTATAGGTAGTGTGGGGTAGTCCATTGGACACTCCTTGGAGGGTCCTGGTATAAGTCGGTTAACCTTGGGTGAACTGATGAACTGATGAACTTGGTCTTGTGTGGTCGTGGTGTGAGAAAATTGAGCGCCCACCACTTTCTCCACTTTCGGGTCGACGTTCTCCACTTCCAAGGCTCCGCGCATATTTCCATTGGGTGGACTCTTGCTGCCGGCAGCTCACTCAGTTTGCCGTGGCCAAGGCTGAGACCAACTGCTGCAGAGTGAATCATGTGGAGTCTGGGAAGCGCATCGCATGTGATCGGGAAACGATTCTGGAATGTGTACGCGCATGGTTTGGTTCCGAGGAAGCCTTCGAAAGCATGGTGCGGCATCAAGTCTCCTCAACCTTGATGGGATTAGGACAGGGTGCATTGCCAGTCTCCTGGTTCATGGGCATGAACTCCTGCGCACTCTGGATATTCTTTGATTTGATTGTTGCACGCTTGCGAGCAGCAGAATACTTCTATTCACTGGCGGCCCTGATCAACATGCTGGCCACAGTCTTTGCCTTCGCTCCCCTCGTTTACCTCCTTTGCCTCTTTGCGGCTTACAAGCTTCGACGTCCCCAGCAGCACCGATGCTCGAATCTCACGGTGTCCTTCCTCGGGGCGATCGGGGTGGTGGTGATCTTCATCCTCTACACACAGCTGGGAGCGATCTTCACCCCAGCAGTTCCTCATGCAGTGCTGCGGAGCCTTCTACTGGCGCTGGCAACGGCGCTTGCAAGCATGTTGGCTTGCAGGATGTGGATGGCAACTTCCACTTAAAGGATCCTAAAGAGAGGTTCCTCGCTCAAGGCTCCAAATCTTGGTGGCTTTGTGTGCAAGCACTCAGCGCGTGACTTGTTTCACTTGAGAGACTCGAGAGTCCTCCAAAAAGTTTTGGCAAGGAATGGGGGCGGTGGCGGGGCCCACAGTCGCGCTCCAGGTGTACAGGTGCTTCAATAGCTGTTCCCTAGCCTTCCAGGACCATGAACAAATGAATTGACCTGAAGATGTCTAAAGTCCTTAGTGCCACAATGGTTTCTTCGGTAAAGACCTGATATATAAGTCTATATTGAAGCACAGGCTGCTGGAATCCCGGATGTCTTTTTGTTTTCTTTGGCAGTTCGGATCTCCTCTTCAGCACGCTGCGGCTCTCATCGGTGTAAGAAATCAGACCCCAAATGCAGGTGGGGTGGTGGCGACTCGCGACGCAAGTGTCGATATGTTCCGGTGTCGAGACATGTCTCAACCATTCTCAGACAAGATGGACCTCCCAACCTGGCATCATAAGTGTACTGTCGGCCGGTCCAATGGGCGAGCGAGCGAGCGAAGTTTTGCGCCCGCAACCGACAGCTGACAGCTGGCAGGGACGCCTGACCAGCTGACCGCGGATCGAACCCGCCCGACGCCCGCCCCTGGATGAGGATTGCAACCTCCTGGCGAGCAACTACTTAGTGCCTCGGGCCTCGTAGAATCCCAACGACCGACCACGTGTCTTCGATCCGGGCCATGGCATGGGGATCGATCCGGGCCGACGCGCGGATCGATCCGCGCGCGGACGTGCGGATCTTGGGGCTTCCTCTCCTGTGCCAGGTTGGGGTGCGTGGGTCAGGACACCACAAGTTGAAGGTTTCTTGCGCACTGAAGGCGCCATAAGATCCACGTGATGTATACCAGCACCTCCAACGGGTCTCCGAAATGGAGCGTTGGGAAGGGCCCTAACAGGTTTCAATATTGGTGACCTGTTGGAGGCCTTCTACATGAGCTCACTTTTACTTTTTTGGCTCACCCCACTTTCCAGCAAAGTTCCTGGCGGTCGCATGGACGCCACCTTGACAAAAGTAAGTGCACCCAGGAGCCCCGGAGGCATGTGGACCTGCCATACGTTATGCATGTCACTACTAGGTTATCCAGGTCCAATTTGAGACAAACTCTTGCATGAAGGAGATGTGTGAAGAATTTTCTGCATGTGAAGTCCGACCAATCCCGTCACAGACGGCTTTTCGAAAAAGACGGTCTCGGATCACCACCGAAATCCACCGAACATTCCCCCTGAACCCTCGCCTCGCCAGGTGGGACATCAGTACTGGGCAGCGGCTCGCCGCTGGTGGACTCTTGGTGTGAGGCTTGAACAGGGCAGAGCAGAGTTTGGGCCAGGGTGAGGCCACACAGGCGAACCAGAGCTCCTCCAACGTAGCAATGTAGACTCTTGAAGACCATACACCCCCCCAGACCTGAAGAGGTGTTTCAATTCCAATGGAGGGGGTGTATGGTCCTCAAGAGTCTACATCACTTGCACAGATCTTACAAGAGCAATACCTGAACTCCTGGGGGGCCAACGTGGCATTTCCGGGGCTGAATGATGGTGTTGCCTCGTGGAGACGACGAGCCCCCAAAACCAGAGGCCGCCCGTGAACTGGAGGGGTTCCATGAAATATTTCCCCCCCTGCTTCGCGTAGCTGCTGGGATTCAATCAGAAGAGCTTCTGACAAGAAGAATCCAGACCAAGAGAGGTTGAGTGACCTTATGGGACCTTACTGGGGTACCGAACTGGGATAAGCTAGTTCGGGTCCTTCAACCTCTGTTGGGAGGTGAGCGAAGAACGACCTCAACTGTGCCACTCCATGAATTGCGCAAGGCATCGGATCATGGGAGGGTGTTTGGAACCACCATTTCTCGTGGAGACCTTCGCCGTGCCTCTCAGCCCCTCGCCCTCTCACCGTTCTGCGACCACAAGCCCACGGGTTGGTGAGGAACTTCTCGCTGCAGCAGCGGCGAGCAGTGGGGGCCGTGCGGCTGCCAGAGGACCTGCAGCTGAGCTTCTTTGCGCTCGCCAGCTGGGAGGAACAGCTGGGTCACTTGGCGCCACAGCGATGGAAGCTTCGGACTTCGTGGAACGAAGGAGTTCGGTGGGGTTCCCCGCTCCTGACGCAAGATGCCCCAAGATGTTCCCTGCTGTGCATGAGCCTCCCTGGTGTCTGGGGACTACGTGAGCATGGGACCTGCCCGAACAATCCGGGACAGAGTAGCCATTTTGGATGATTTTGGGGTCGCTGGTGCCTGGGGATCAGGTTGAGCCTTCCCAAGGCATGGCAATGAGGTGAAGACTTAAGCTATGACTCTTGCAATCGCCTGCCTAGAACTTGGTAAGTTTAGGTGTGTTTTTCCTCCAGGCCTTTTCTTATCAAAACAGAGGTCCAAATGGGTTCTAGGTACTCAATCCCAGACCTTGAGCATCTGTCATGGAACCCAATTCCCGCCCCTTGCCCTTCGCAGGTCTCCTCTCTCAAGAGCACCCTGAGCTGGGCATGGCCCATGAGCAGATGGCTGCACTGCGCGCGGAGTACAGCCGGTGGGTGGCAGGCGCCCACAGAAGTCAAAAAGGTTGGACATTTGGACATGGTGGTTGGGCTGAATTCTTTTCCCACAGGCTTCGGAGAGGATTGGCATTCAAAATTCAAAAACGTCCAGATGTTCACCAGCTTATCGTTCTCTTCGCCGGTCTGAGCCCCTCCGACGCTCGGCGCCGCGCCGCGTTGAGGCTCCTTGAACCGCAGCGCGGTGGTCGCGGCGGCGCGGGACGCGCCTCTCGGGCGCGCGCTCCACGTGCCCAGCGGAGGAGACCTTCCCGACACGCGGCGTGGCTGCTGAGCGGTGCACGTGTGGTGGAGCGGTGATAGAGCGGTGGAAGGGAGATCTGGAGAGATGGGGAAGCCTCACTCGGGGGAAAGACGTGGAAAAAGCTGGGGACAGAGAGGGTGCGTCCCATCAATCGCCAGAGCCACATGTTCCAAGTGGCCTCTTCAGACAGCGAATGAGAGTGAAGCAAACATCTTTGGCATCTTTAGCCCCATCCAGGGGAGGTTTTTGCCAAACATTGGGCAGCCCAACCCCATTCCAGCCCTGCAAGTTCGGCTTTCTTCGCATGTCATTCCACCAAGGTCTCTTGAGCATGTCCAAGGCCTTCAGCCTGGAGACCCCTTGATCCTCTCACCGCAGGTGGTGCCACGCGCCGGCGGCGAGTGGCATAGGGCCGGAACGATGACCCTTCTTTTCCACCCACAAAGAGCACGTCAAGGGCCACAGTTGCTGTAATTTTGCATGGGCTTTGAGGATGTTTTGCAAGTTGACGGTTGACCTTTTTGATCTTGATCTAAGAAGAACCCCACCTTCCTTACGAAAGGGAGTCGCTGACATCATGCTGCTGCTCCTGGCGCTTCTCCTTGGCACGCCTGGAGCCGGCCTCGCCAGCTGCTCGACTGCTCGTGCTGCGTTCGTCACAGGTGCTGACGAAGTTGGTGGAGCTCTTACGTTCCTCCACGGTGTGGTTCCGAGCCCGGCAAGGTGCGGCGAAGTGTAAAGGAGGGACAGATGGGAGTACGGCGACATACGGCTCACGGCTCGCTGGGCAGTCGGCAGTGTATCGATGAATCCTTCAAATTGAGGGGACCAGCACCTTCAAACAGGTTACTAATGGAAGCCCCAGCCCGCTACTTAGGGATCTGATGGGATCTGTATTGAACACCCCTTTGAAGGTCCATGGAGACGTTTTGTCTGGTTCTAGTTGACCCGGTGCTACCAGAGCCATTCTACTAGAGCGATGGTGCGAATGGGCAACTGTCAGACGTGTCAAGGTTTCCGACCACGTGCACCTTTCGAAGCCCAGCGCGGAAAACGCTTTTCATGAAAGCCCAGATGACAGTAGCCTAGAGCCCCGGAGAGTTGCGGAGTGCATGATTAGGAAGACATGGAAGAAACACGCGTTTCGCAGACTGCTGCCTTGCATCGTTGAAGTTCTGCCTGAACGATCAATTCCCCTTTCAGGTGTTGCCTTGGAGGCTGAATTGAGAGATGGTGTCTCAGCTGCAGCCTGCTGGGTATCCACATCCAACATGATCCAACCTTGGATCCACCTACACCCGCGGGAAGATTAACATAGTAGAAATCATAGAACCTGAAAACCACTGGGTTGTAGAGGAAAGTAGTCTTCCAGTCTGGTCCACGTTCAGGTTCCACTTGAGTAGTCTTCCAGTCTGCACTTGGGCCGCTTCCCAGGTGTACCTGAAAATCTGCACTTCCAAGTCGCCTCAGTGATCTGGATCTCTGGAGAACCAGCCACGTCTGAACCATATGGTCGACCGACCTGGTCGACTGTGCCACGGTCTGAATTCCAAACAGAGGTTGAAGAACCCCGTAGACCATCCAATAAGTACCCCAGGCTAGGGGTCCTATTTACGGTCAACCTCTCTAGCTTGCCGTCATCCGGGAGGTCCTCAGCGATTTCGCTTCCGTCGTTCGACCCCACTTGGGGCGCTCCGAAGGGACGGGCCATGTCCGTGAAAGGCGGGAAAGACTGGACTGTATTCATTCTCAGTGATGCCTTCCCTGGGCGAACACATCTCAGGGATAGGGACTGCTGCGGCTAGGGACTGCTGCGCTCAAAAAGAAGCCTCCAAGCTTTTGCACCTGCTCCTTTCGGACACGTCGATTTGGATTCCAGGAGGCGCAGAGGGGTGGTGTTTGGTCCATCAGTGAGTGGATGTTCTGGGCACCCACAACCTCCATGGATAGCACCCCAAGTTGGAACTGCTGGTTCATTCATTTGGTTGTCGTTTTCTTGGGGTCAATAAAATGGCTCTTGATTTGAGTGAGTACAGTATAGTAGTGAGTATAGAATGTGGCTCTGGATTTCAGACCAATTTGAAATTTGGATTGAACCAAACCTCTTCATATGGGGGGCCCATTGGATTGCTAGCAGGAATCGTCATGGATTCATTTTCCCGCGGACGCCGCCCACCACACACCTCACGCCTCACGCCAGCCTTTTTGGAGCGGCTTTTTGAGGCCTTCACCAGGCGCCTTTCTTGGAGTTGGGGCTGCAAGTTGCCAGGGCCGCAGGCTGCGAAGAGAGTGGGACAGGGGGTGCTGCATAGCAGTGGGACAGGGTGGCGTGCGGGTGGGACAGG